GGTCGAGTTTTGCGTTCCAACAAACACTCATGCATAGTATTCGTGTGTGTCGCACAGTGTCGCACTGTGTCACCTTGCTGGAAAACAGCTAATGAGTAGCACACGGTTTCCGACTTGATTGGAATTTTATTACCTGTGTTACTCTCTGTTTCTATTGCCTGGCATTGTGCATAGTACTTTACTTCGTAGAAACTCCTAGGAACGGTGAGAATCAGCTGACAACACTATTGCTATTGCTGCACCTGCCACTCTCAGCTGATTGCTTAAGGAGTTCTTAATAAGTAAACCATTTTTTTTCAAAAAGTGGAAGCCATCTTGTTTTGCGCATGCCTACAGAATCCGACGTACCGTTTCCCATGCGCTCAGTCGATCACACGGTTAATTTTTAATTAATTACTTCATCCCTATTTCTAATTTTGCAAAATAATACGTAACTTTTCTATGCAGTTTAAAAGAATCTAATTTCACACTTCGGTTTTGTTCAAAATTTTCAAACACCTTGTATAATACAGCAAGACATTTAAGAAATAAGTAATTTAATATGACTCATAGAAAAAAGCACTTTTCCAGCATCAATAAATTGATAAATTGAAACAGCGTAAAATTTGATTTATCTAATCAATTCAGTCGTTAGCATTAGACTAACGTGTATAAAAGATCGTTGATCATTCATCAAATAAATATATTTAAAGCGAGCAATATGTAAGCTGAAATTAACAAAACAAGATTTGTTGTACTTTTCAGATAAAAAACGTCAAATCGAACGATCAAAACGATCAAATTGTATTATTATCAATATTAATTTGACAGTTAACTCTATTACTTGTATGCGATATGGGGAATACATATAATTTATCATTATAAATAAGTTTACATAATTTTATACTAATTAATTGAACCATCCATGATTTTAATTTTTTGTCTTTCTTAACTACGTATATGCGAAACATTGCAGATTTGCAAGGATTATAATATACATCTTCAGTTGGTATTAATTGTTTCCCAATAACATAAACAGTGCCTTCACTTACTGCAAAATTCTCTGCTTGGACAAATATGTCATTATATAACATCAAACAATTATCTCTGTTATTACTACAATTAATGCAATACATGTCCTTATACAAAATTTTATATTGAACTCCATATTCTCTATCATCAGTAACAGGACCATCTTGATGTAATTTTTGAAAAGTTATACTTTTATTAACTGAAGCTGCTTCAAATTTTATATTATCATGTTCCATTAATCGTCGCGAAATTTGTTGCAACGGTTTTTCGCTTTTGCGAATCATTTTTTTTATAGAAGATAAATAATTTTCAAACCTGAAAGCACTAAAGTTGTCTAAAGATCCGTATTTTCGAACGTCCTCAGCCAAATGAAGTAAGTTATGAATATTATGCGAGATATACTTTCTACCATATATAATTCCAAATGAAGTTACAAAATGTTTCAATAATTGTTCTGCATAATCGACGTAATTTGTAGTTTGTGAATAAGTAGGATGAACTAAAATTGTGATCGCTACATGTAGTGTTAAGAAATTTACATACATATCATCTCTTAAGGTATTTTTCAACACTACTGGGCCGGTATATAAGAGCATTTGTCGAAATTCAGTAGCTTTCCAGAGCTTTACATACTTCAATGACCTTGGTAGTCTTGCAAAATCTGATGGTAATGTCTTTCTTAACAAAATTAGCGCGTCAGAAATGCAAATTTTTGAATTCGAACATAGTCTAATGTTTAATGGTCCATGTAACCAGAGCATTAACAATTTACGCATAACTCCTAGGCAAACTAAGTGCATATAATCAATGGGTACATTTGAAACTAACCCTAGGAAAGGTATCTTATTTAAAATTGTTTCACTAATCTGATAATCATCAGAATATGCCAAATTTTTAAAATTTTCGTCAGTTCTTAGATTCATATTACATTCATTAGGAAAACATAAAACTCCATCAATATGTGAGCCTGCGATTGTGCATTTTGTGCAACTAGCATAACCGGAATGATACTTAACATTCAAAATAAATGCTTTTGCAGGAGTATCGCAGATTATTGCATGAATTGTAACCTTATATTGTTTATGTTTATATTCAACGCTGTTCTGAACGACAGTAATAGCTTCATCAACGAACATTTGAAGAAAATCGTTAGCGTTGTTTGGTTTTCTCTCCCCGTAGTATATACCGATTATATGTACATCTCGTGAATCAGTGTCCGAACATAAAATGGGCCATATATTTTTTCCTGAGGATGTACCTAAAGTCGCACCATCGGTACTTATCAATAATTTGATTAAAGTACCATTATGTTTTGAATAAATGCGATTTTTAATTATGTTTATAATCACATTTTTCAAACCATAATGGTAATACTCTCCTCCTGCAACTACAAATATTTCAGTAGATCTTGGCGTTTCGAGCAATGTTCTAGCGTCTGCAGGAAACGATGTATTTGTATTATTTCGCAAAATGGATAATAAATTGTTGAGTGCATTATGTTTAATTGAAAATTGTAAAGCCCAATTCTTTATGTCAGATATAAATGTACTGTTATTATTAATTGTAATAAATTTTGTTGAATCAACAAATTCATGTTCTACTTTCATTATACTACTTGCCACTTCATCATCTACTGTTTCATTATTTATAGGTATTATGTTTTCATGTGATCCACTTCCTTTACCTGCACAATTAGAAATATCATTCTCAAAACGACGAGATCTATTTTCATTATATCTATGCGAAATATCGTTAAAGACATGTATTGTATGTAATTGTTTGTCATCAACACAATCATATAAATAATCTTGAGGAATAATATTTGCAGTAGTGTTGTTAGAAGGCTGTAAAACTGTTGAAGATGTTTCTTCATGATCAGTATTAGGTTGTTGACGAAGACGTTCATAAATTCTTATCATTGATGAAGATACATTTTTTTGTACTAGTCGGTGAAAATGTGTTTTCGAGTAAAATTGCGAATGCCGTTTTCGAATCATTTTGTCCATAACCACTTCACTGTCCTTATTTCATATGTTACTAGAAAATTATAAAAAATTATTCATATACATCCATAGACTTATATACATAGATCGGTCTCTATCATAAGAGGGAGCGTGGCAATATATATAGTACATACATAAACGATGGACTAAATCTACTCTTCCCCCACTTAACTCTTGACTCGAGTAATGAAAACTATATGAGAGGGAAAAGGAGAAATCTACTTCACCGCTGTCTGTACCATACAGATATTTTCTTTCTTTTTACGGTAAGAGCTGGTCTATGTATGTAACTCTACATATATTGCAATATGATTCAATAACTAATGGTTATTATAACATCTACAATCGAAACATAGTAATATTTTTTATTGTAAAATCAAGAGAGTCAAGCATTTGTGGACAATTTGTTCATTTCACTGTCAACATCCTTTAAACTCATGTATACTATTGACTATTTATGTTGACTATTTTTACCTTATGTTGACCATTTTTTATCTATTACATTTTATATAAGAGAAACAAAACAATTATGAAAAATTCAATTACTTATTGTTTTAGAAAATATGTGATTTAATAGATAAAAATTAATAGACACAAAATTGTCAATAAAAGATGTACTAAAATTTATAATATTGACACTTTTATCATAATGACACTTTTATCACTATAATCTTAATTACCAGATATTCAAAAGTATTTGAAAGTAAATGCATGCAATGATAAGAAAATAATACAATTATGTTATTTACAATTTTCGTACTGAATGTTTTCTAATTTGGTCTTTTATCTTTATGCTGATGAAACTATGTATTCAGATTATA